GGGGGGGGGGCGGGCTGAGATGGTGCCGCCGTCTCTGTGAGTGGGTGGCAGAGCCGGCACGTGGAGCCTGGCAGCTCCCTGTTCCCTGAACCCCTCCCCCTGTGGCTTTGGCGGGGTGTTGGGGTCTGCACTGGGGTGGCCTCAGGCCTGTGTTGTTCTCTCCCGAGGCTGCAGACAGGCTGGTCTGTGCACACCTACCAGACCGAGAAGCAGAGGAAGAGCCAGAGCCTCAGCCCGGCCGAGGTGGAGGCCATCCTGCAGGTCATCCAGAGGGCCGAGCGGCTGGACGTCCTGGAGCAGCAGAGGATCGGGTAAGGGCGCTCGGGCTGGGCCAGAGCAGACGGGGAGGAGAGCAGGGCGCTCAGTGCCAGGCCAGGGGGCGGCCAGTCTGGCGCCCTCGCCCCAGGGCTGGCTTTCCACCCTGCAGTGTAGACGCGTAACCCAGCCCGTCGAAGCCTCGGTATACCCACCTGTAAGAGGGGGATAGCGGCAGCTGTGTGGCCCAGGCTGTGGGGGTGAGAGTGGTGCAGTGTGTTAGGGACTGCGCAGCTCTGCACACGGAAGGGCCCGCTGTGGTCCAGCAGCGAAGAGTTTCAGTGGAGGCCGACCCTGGGTGGCCCCACCTGAGACTCCAACAGGAGACACTCCCCAGCTTGTGCTGAGCTCTTGTCCCCGCCTCGGCCTCCGGCCTCCGGCCTCCGGTCTCCAGAGCGGACAGCCTCACAGTCCTCAACCCGCTCTGTGGGGTCTTCTCTCGCTTGTTTCATTCCAAAAGCCGTTCGCAGTTCCTGGAAAATCTGAAGAGCACGCGTGGGAGAACTCAGACGCAGAGCGCTGCCCCGGGCGGAGTTCACTTGGTTCTGACCTCCGTGTGCTTCTTCTGTTTATCCTTTTCTCCTAAATGTGTGATCATTGTAAAAAGTCGGACACAATAGACACACCCGGTTCCAGACAATAAAAGACCCTGCAAAGACCCCTGCAAGGACCCTGCTCTCCCAGCGGCTCTGTGTGCATGGCTCAGTCACACGGGCCTCTTACTGTCGTCACAAGGAGGGTTTAGATCAGACAGACTCCTTGTCTCGCTTTCCTCCCACCCGACCTGGCTCTGGCCCTGGGCTGCCCCAGGCCCTGCAGGTGCTCACAGACCCCCCAGCTGACGATCGACACCCAGGAGGGTGTGCGGGGAGCAGGGGGGTGTTCCCCGTGGGCGCCTCTGCGCAGTGGGAAGCACGCGTGCCCGCTCCTCCCTCTGGGCGGCCGCCTGTGCCTCCCTGGGCGGCTCCCGTGCTCTGGCCCCTCTGCGAGCACCGGGTTTGCCAGGGGCACAGAATGGCCCAGAAGGCAGTGCCTCGGGTTCATCCTCTCAGAAGGAGGAGGCGGGTGCGTCCCGTGTGTTTCGTGAGTGAGGAGGCAGGAGGTTGTACTGACGGGGTCCCCGAGAACAAGCGGGTCAGGCCAGGGTGGATGCTCCGGAGGCCCTGCAGGTCCTGGTAAGGGACCGTGACCCCGTGGAGGTCGGGAGTGCTGGCTAGAGGGCAAGGGGGGAGGCCGCCTCCTGCCCAGTCTGCTCTCCCTCGGCTCCAGGCAGAGTCTGGGAGCAGATCGAGTTGCCAGGGGAGTGGGGTCTGGGTGGGGATAAGAGCTGTGTGACCCTGGCAAGTGACTCCACATCTCTGAACCTCAGTCTTCTCATCTTTAAAATGGGAAGAAATAGCATCTTCCTCACGGCGGGGTGGGGAGGGGGTGACGATGAGAGGAGATAGTGTAGCCATACTCCGTCCTTCATTCACTCAAGAACTCTCACTGGGTGTCCACTGGGCACTGGCGACCTGCTGCCAGCACACACCCCAGGCTCAGTGGGGTTCAGGGACAGCTCCCGGCACTCAGCATCAGAGGTCAGAGACGGGCGCGCTCTCTCTCTCTCTCTCTCTCTCTCTCTCTTTCTCTCTCTCTCCTTCTGCTTCATCCCCCCCATTGCTCAAACCAAAGGCCTCTGTGCTGTCCTGGGTCTCTCTTTCCTCCCCTCACCCCCAGGCCATCGAGGCTGCCTCTGAAATACAGCCCATCCCAGGCTCCACCCCCTTCCCTGGACTCCCGCCACCGGCTC